TTACCTGACTCATATTCCACAATGATCGTGTAGCTCATCATCTATGGACTGTGTCTATGTAGTTATTGGAACGTTTGGTGTTCAAAGACTATTCCTTGTATTTCACTAGAGAGGTAGAGTGCTGTACAAGCAGCTGCTCAAACACGGATCTGGGGTGGCCACCCTTCGCATGTTCAGCTTCCAAAGAGCTGATTTCACAGATTGGGGGGACAGAGGGAAGAGCAGGCAGCTTTAGTGAAATCCCCAGACTCTTTAAGGTATCTTCAAAATCATGTGTTCAATGTAGCCAGAACAGAGTTATCATCTTTCCAACTAAATTCCTCCCCCTGGTATGACGGATGGCGGTGTCACGTATGCTTAAGATTTTAAAGTCAGCTGCGACTCTTAGTATCATAGATTTAGAAACAGAAGGGATATTCAAGGTCACCTAGTGCAAATCTGTCATTTGACAGTTGAGGAAAATGAAGCCCAGGAGAATAAGTTGAATCACCTAAGTTCATATGGGGAGAAAGCGTCAGAATTAGGATAGAACTCCAAATCTTGAATTCCTTCTACTGCCAGACTTCACTCCCATTTCCCTCCTTTGTACATCCATTCAGGCACTAAGCCTTGTCAACTCTATTTCTGTCATAGTTTTCATACCCATTTCGACTTTCTGATTTCCACGGGGGCCACCTTACTACAAGCCCTCATCTCAAGCATATTGAGAGAAAAAGGAGAATCACAAAATGCATAGGACCTTTTTTTTTGGAGGGGGGTGGCTGATAAAGGATACATAGATAGATAGATAGATAGATAGATAGATAGATAGATAGATAGATGGTCAGATAGATGGTAGATAGACAGATGGGCATATAGACAGAAGAAAGATGGAAGGAAGAAAAGGGGGAGGGAAAAAAGGAAGGAAGGAAGGAAAATGGTAGAACATATATTATTTACTCTGTTCCAGGTATTATGCTAAGCATTGCATATACAAATATTAGCAAGACAATCTCTATTATGAAAGAACTTATATTGTAAAGAGGAAGATGATAGACAAAAAGGGAGCTGGAAATTTAGGAGTGAGGGTGTGGGAAAGGTTCTGGAGTGGATGCAAGGAAGCGAGTAGGGAGGAAGAAAAGAAGCCCTGAGAGTCTAGTCATAAGCAAAGTAGAACATGGCTGGTTCTATCATGAAATTGTGGGGAGGAAGGCAATCACCAATCAGGAAAACTACTCACTTCTTAGTGTATTTCTGTTTTCTCTGAAAAGGAGAATGACTTTTACACTATAAAATGACAGAACAAAAATACACACAAGGATGTGATTCTCAAGATAAGGAAAGAGATAGTAAGACAGCACATGCCCTGCCCCCTTGAGGAACTCAGGGCACCTGGCCCAGATGAACATGAGAAATGGCAGACATAACTGCTGAGTCACTAGAAGTGATGCTTGAAAATCATGGGAAATGAGAGAAGTGCTCCAAGATTGGAGAAGGGTGAATAGTACCCCTATTTTCAAAAAGGGAAGAGAACAGAGTTTGTATACTATAGGCTGGTGAGCTTACCTATGATTCCTGGGGAAGATCTAGAAGTGATCATTAAAGAGATGGGTGGGGAAGAGCTAAGAAAGGATGCAGGGATTCTAAAAGAGATAGTGTGGCTTCTTCAAGAGAAAGTCACACCAAAGTAACATTTCCTTTTTCTGACGGGGTTATTAAACTGGTAGAAGAGAATTCTGTAGATATAGTTTATCTGTATTTTAGTAACTTTTGATAAAGTAACTGAAGCTGGTCTTACGGAAAAGATGAAAAGACCTGGATTAGATTTTAAGAAATCAGATGGATACAGACCCGGTGGTACGGCTGAACTCAAAGAGCAATTGCTAGTGGGTCAATGTCAATAATGTCAGCATCACAAGCATCCAGTGAAGGACACCTGCCCTTTAACATCATCAATGACTTAGATAAAGACATATATGGTATTGAAGTGGTGCCAAGCAAGGAGACATAGTCAACACAGTGAAGGACAGTGTCAGGATCCCAAAGCAATCTGATAGGCCTGAGCATCGGACTGAATCTAATAAGTGAAATTCAATGGAGATGAATGCACTTAGGTATTAAAAACCATCTTCACAAATATAAGATGGAGGTAGGAGTGGGTAGACAGCAGCTGTTCTGAAAAGGGTCCGGGGGGATTTTAAGCTCCATGTGACTTAGCAGTATGATATGGCTGCCAAAAAATCTAATGTGAACTTAAGCTGCGTTGAGAGTGTCAGAACTCCCAGGAATAAGAAAGTGCAGCCCCACTGCTCTGCACCATCACCAGACCTTATCCTGTTAAGTTCTGGGCACCACTGTCTAAGAAGGACATTGATAAGCTGGAAAGTGTCCAAAGAAGGGCAATTGGGATGGAGAAGGGCCTTGGTTCCATGATATACAAGATCAGTAGAAGGAACTGGATATGTTTTCCTTGGAGAAGAGCCTAGGGGGGTGGGTAGGACTTATAATAGCCGCGTTCAAGTGTTTGAAGAATTGTCGTGTGGAGAGAGGATTAACTTGGTTATGTTTGACCCCAGAGGGTTTAGATGGAGCTCATGAACAAATGTGTGAAAATTGCAAAGCAGCCAATTTCATCCTAGGCACTCTTCCACATCATCTGCAATTTGATGTCAGGAACTACTTCCTAAGCATCAGAGCTGCCCAAAAGCAGAACAGGCTGCCTTCATAGGTGATAGTTTTTCTCTTGGCGGTCTTCAGTAGGGGGCTAGATGATTGTATGATTCTTGGAACTTTTATTACAGTTCCTCACCAAATCTGCTTCTTCCACTATCAGGCCATCCAATGCATCAAGTTGATCATCTTAAACATGATGTTGACATTCAAGACTCTCCGCCAACAAGTTCTTTCTTATCTTTCTAAATTTGTCTCCCATGATTCCTCTTTATGCCCTATGAGTATAATGGTTTAAATGAATACACCATTTAAAGACAATAGGGCTGAAGTTCAATTCAAACACCAACGTAGTCTCCAAAGGAATGACATTAATACTTGTTTCCTTCCTTCAATAACTGTTCTTTTTTTTTGCCTTTGTATCCCCAGTGCCTAGCACATGGGTGTATATGTAGCAGGCATTGAATCAATGTCTGTAAATTGATTAAAGATTATTGTGAAGAAATGGTCAACTATTAAAAGTACTCAATGAACGTGTGACAGGACAATGATGGAGATCTATGTTTGTTAGAGAACAGGAAATCTCCACCAACATCCTGTTACAAATGAAAAGCTTCATGTGTGTGCCCTCAGTCTCAATAGCTAAAGGCAGTGTGCTGAGAGGGGTAGTGGCAAGAGCCACTGTCAATGGATTTGAAATATCATGGAAAATGGGAAAGGTATCATGGGATTGGAGGAGGTCAAAGGTCCCAATTTTCATAAAAGGGAATAGAACAGAATCTGTTAATGTTGAGACAGAGAGCTTGACTTCAATTCTTGGTGTAAAAAAAAGATGTAATCAATTATTAAAGAGATTGTGGATAATACCTAGAAAAGCAAACAGTGACCACAAAGGGAAAAAGGAATTCATCAGGAACAAGCGAGGCCAGAATACATTCATTTCTTTGGTTAACAGGATGAGTGTTACTAGTAGATGCAGAGGAAAGCAACACATATAGTTAGGTTAAGTTCTACTGGCCTTGCAATCAGAAGAATTTAGATTTCAATTTCACTCCTGATGCTTTATAGCTACACAACTGTAACTGGCAGCAAGTCACTGGGCCTCTGAATCCTCAGTTTCCTCACCTTCAAATCTGGTATGAGAACTGCAACAAACTACTGCTCACTGAGCTGCCATGAGGGATGGAGATGAAGGGGATAAGAGGACCCTAGAAGTAGAGAGCGAGGGAAGCTGGGGGCATTGAATGCAAACTCTTTTGGGTAGTTAAAGAAACTGAGACCTAGAGAGGTGATGATATGTTTGTGTGTAGATGATTGTGTATATGTATAAATGTGTATGTATACATACGCACACCTCTGCACACACATATATAAATATGTGCGTAAATGTGTGTATATGTATGTATGTGTATATATGTGCATATATATATATGAACATCTTAGGGTATAATAGATGTGCTTATGAATAATTATGTATAGTGTGTGCATATGTGCATGTATATATATTTTGATATATACATGTATATAGACAATCCATTACATATGATTCATACACATGGATCACTTTATCCACATATTTTGTTGTTATTCAGTCATTTTCCAGTTGTGTCCGCTAGAGATTTTCTTGGCAAAGATACTGAAGTAGATTGCCATTTCCTTCTCTAGCTCATTTTATAGATGAGGAAACTGAGGCAAACATCATTTAGTGACTTGCCCAGGGTAACACAGCTAGTAAGTGTCTGAGACCAAATTTGAACTCCCAAAGTTGAGTCTTCCTGAGTCCAGGCCCATCACTTTATCCACTACACAAACACTAGCTCCCTTTACACATATATAGGTGGATATATGTATATATATAGGAAATTCATTGTTTTTCATTTAAAAATCAATATGTGTCTATGTATATAAATGTGCATGTTTTAATTTAATTATGTAATTATTAATATGTATGAATTACTTCACATGTGTATAACTATATCTATATTTATAGAGATTTACTTGATAATTGTTAGTTATCAGACATAGATAGCCTTGCTTAACTATTTTGAGTACTACTGAAAGGTTCATTTTATTGGAAAACTAATTTTCCATATAAATAAAATGCAGTAATAAATGTGTTTATTGTTCAGAGATAGGAATACCCAGCATATCCCAAATCTGATGCAACATGGAACTAAGTCATTCCTTCAGTCATGCAGCCTGGGTCCACACTCTCAGTAGGAAGATTAAAAAGTGTGTTTTGTTTTTGTTTTTGATTTTAAAGGAAGTGGGGTCTCTAGAGATTCTTATTTGGAGTGAAAAGAAAAATCTTTTCTATCTATCAATGACAACCAACCATGCATTCGACAGCAAGTAATTAAAATGGTTTTATTTGTCATGTCCTTGTTAAGGGAACAAGATTTTTTCCCCAAAACACGAAAAAAATAAACCTAATATTTGCACATGATCTAGCCCACTCTCCCCTGCCTCAAAAACAAAAGAAAACTATTCTTCCTCTGAGACGTGGAAGGATGTTTCTCTCAAAACGTCCAAGCAGTTCACCAAGATCAAGGCCCCAGTTAATTCTCGCCAATGCTTGGTCACAGGGTTTTTCATTCTGTCCAAAGCCAGTTGTAAATCTTGCAACACGTTCTGGTAGCTTTCTCCATAATGTGCTCCCCAAGTATAGAGGAAATCATATGCAGGCTTCCACATCATCTGCAAAGAAAAAATGGAGAAGTTGTTGAATGAGAGCCTGGGTACCAGTGGGAGCAGAAGAAAGCAAGGCCTCTTGGGAGACTTGGAAGATGGAGACAAATTAAAATTCTAGCCAACTGGAAACGTCTTTGTCTTCTAAAAATGGATGATTTAGGAGTAAATAGTGGCCTGATACAGCAGAGATGCTACAATTACAGCTTTAAAGAGAGCCTAATATATTTAGGGAGTCCATTTCGAGTTGATATATCTTCGTGCTTATCCAGAGCTGGTAGGAATTCTCTCATTTAAGCGTGGCCGTGTTTTGGAGGATCCTTAGACTCAGAACAGCCTGGCCTCCAGTCTAGTTCCTGCCACGTGATCACTGTGTGCTCATGGCCTTACCTCTTAAGGTACTAAGCACTTCTCTGTGATTAGACTTGAATTCAAGTCTTCCTCTGAAGCACAACAGCTATGTGAGACTGGGCAAGTCACTCAGCCTCCCACTGACACTGGCAGGCACCTCTCTAGAATCAACAGACATACTGCAAATCTGTTTTGCAGATTGCAGAATTGAAAAGTCTCCACAGAGATAGATATGCAGGTCCAAAAATAAAAGAAAAAAATAGTAATTATGCACACCTTGCATGTCCACGTTTCACACATAAGAGGGCTTCATAGGGGTAGGTGTGATGGATGTTAAGTGCAGCTTTTGTGTTATTCAATCAATGGCTTTTGAAATAGACTGCCTTTGTGGTGTGGTGTCTTAGACTGTCTAGGAGCCCTGCCCTTTCCCTACCAAATCTCTTGAGGGTGCTGTATAAAGGTACTTAATATTTCACATCATTTTATCCAAACACAATTCAACAAATAAAGTAAACATTCAGTTGGATTTGGCCAAATGAAAGCGATTCTCCGATTCCCTAATAACAAGGGATGGATGCCTGTTATCCCAGAGGGGGATCAAAGGACTGCTTTGAGCCCCCTCCCCCTCCAGGGGGCTCTGGCCCAGCACCTGACCAGGCCAATGACATCACGGTTTCCATAGTGATCTGATGGCGTCAAAGAAGAACCTCACACACCAATTGAGGATGTCATGGTAACCACGGTAACCAGACTTGCAGCAAGGAGAGAGAGACAAAGACGGGCCAAATAAGACAAATTGTAAAATATGAAAAGAAAAATAATTCCAAATGCATGCTCAGGGGACAAGAACTGGATGACAGAAAGATCCCACAAGCCAAGTAGTTAGAATGCAAACTTTATTACTGATGCTTCTTTGGGTTCCCTCATCTAATTTGCAGATATTTGCGCCACTTGCAAAATGCACACATTCCAAAACCACAGAAGTCAAAATATGTGAGGTGCCCCTCCCAAAACAGAGGATCTATTAACAGAAAAGGAAAAAGAGATGTAAACCACAAACATCACGAACCCTAGATCCCAGGGTCTTACATACAATCTAGCCCACTAGATCCTCACAGCTGCTTCCATGGTTTAGAGGCAGAAAATAAGCCACTCGGGGCACACTGCTGGTGTAAATGGCCGGACCTGAGTTCTTCGCCTGACTGCTGATGCACCACACTCCATGGTAGTGTCTCTGCCCCACAGAGAGCACTGATGCCATAGGCCTGGCTCAGAGCCCATTTGGGGAAATGAAGAGAACAGTGGACAGCAATAAAAAGTCATCCCACTAATTGAGACCCAATGTAAATAGGCCATCTTGTAACCATGATCTTCAAAGGAACAGTACAAGACCATAATCATTCATTAACATTACATGAATTAAATTCAATGGTTTAAATCAAACTATAGGTATAAAGAAATTATAGTATTACTAAGTATTTTCTGTATTTGCCAGGGAACAACATTGGGTCATATTTTCTCGTTTGTAGATTTTGCAAGTTCTAGTTACTGATTTGTCCCACTTGACTACAGGAGGGATGAAGAATCTTTCTCTCCCCAACTTGAAGGCAGTGTCCTGAAGGAGTTAGGCCCCTCTCTTTCTTGTTTATAGATTTTTTTCTAGAAGTAGCCCTGAGTAATTTGATTAAACCCACTCATCTGGATAAGGACTTGATGGAATAATTCAGAAGAGAGCTACAACTCCCCAGGGCTCAGAACAGTGCCTGGGCACATAGGAGGCACTTAATAAACATTAATTGATGGATAGATGGATGGACAAATTGAAGATGAGTTGTTCAACTTCACTAGTAAAGGGAACATACCCACCAGGAGTTCCCCTACTCCAATGAAAATATACAAACAAAAAGTGTAGTGATTCTGGGCGTACGGGTGCGGAAGAGAGACATACACCTTGATAATAAGCAACAGTTAACAACAGACGCTTCACTGGTGGAGGTGGGGAAGTCAATATTCTGTGATCATGTTATTATTTTAATTTTAATATTCTTGGGACCAGAGGGATTCAATGTTTGCCAGTTTAGTGCCTTTTGTACCTTTACAGGTTCCCGCAATTGGACAGTACAATGGTTTCTGGTAGGAGGAGCTGCCTCTGCACTAATGTGGCAGTAGCACATGTAAGAGTGTGCCCCTTGTTTGTTTTGGGGGTGGTATAGTGAGAACTGCATGACAGGAAGTAAGGAGAGACCCTGGGTTCAACCTCTCTGAACCTCAGTTTCCTTATCTGTAAAAACGGCATAATAGCAGCGCTTTCATTGCAGAATTATTGTGAAGATCCAATGAGATAATAGAGATAAAACACTTTTGTAAATCTGAAAGAGTGAAAAAAAACAGAGACAGAAAAAGACAGAGACAGACACACAGGGAGAGAGAGAGATAGCAAGAGAGACAGTCAGAGAGAAAAGATATTAAGAGACAGAGAGACATACAGAGATAGAGACAGACAGACAGAGGCAGAGAGAAAGAGGAGACTGGGAGAGACAGAGACAAAGAGAGAGATAGAGAGAAGAGAGAGATTGAGAGACAGAGACTGAGACACACAGAGACAGAGAGATAGAGAGACAGCAAGAGACACAGAGAGACAGAGGCAGAGAGAGAAGACTCTGAGAGATACTGGGGAGATCTGGCTCTGTGATTCCATTTGAGTCTATCTTTCTTACTGGATCTTTCCCAGTGTTCGGTGCTGAGGAATGCTAATATGCTTAGTGATTTGCCCAGGATAGCATAGCCAATATGTAGCAGAAGCAGGATTTGAATTCAGGTCTTCCTGATTCTGTGGCCAGTCACTGTCCATTGCACAATACTGCCATGCTATATAGTTATAAGCCATTATCATTATCACTGTTGTATGACACTGACATAGAGATCTTAACTAAGGTTTTCAAATCACAATATTTTCAAGTTGGCAGAGATCTTAGAATCTATCTGGACCAGCAGTTCATAACCAGGGCTCTGTCAATTTTTAAAAATATATATTTGGATATAGTTTCCTTAGCAATCCTACTTTTTTTTTATTTTATGCAACTCAAAGTATTATTCTCTGAAGGGCTTCGCAGGCTACATGAGACTGCCAAGGATTCCATGACAAACAAGAAAGTTAAGAACACTTGCTCTAGCCAAACCCAAGCTAATAAGAGTCCTCTCTACCACCCTGAAGACAAGCAGGCAAACAGCAGCTGTCTCACAATCTCCGTGGCAGAGGAGCCATGGCCACCAAAGAAGCCCATTGCACTCACTTCTAGGAGGTCTTGTCACGAGAAGGATTTTTCTCCCATCAAGCGCATGTCTCAAGCCTTTCTCTAACTTCCATTCATGATCTTAGTTAAAGGGGACGAATATGCTGTGTCTTTACTTGTAAGATTATGTTTGTTTATTTTCCCAGGAACACTGTGGGGTAATGTTTGTGATATTATTCCTAGGGAGACAATGTGACTAAGGTATCCTCCTAATTGCCTGAAGATATGATTTGAAACCCCTTACAGGAAGAGTTCAGTAATAGGAGAGCCAAAGATGGGGATGAGACTGCCTGGTCAGCCTCAAGATTCCTACCTACTGCTCAGAGATGTTGATGATGATGATGATGAGGAGGAGGAGGAAGGGAAAGAGAAGAAGGGAGGAAGAGGAGAAGTAACATTTATGTAGCATAGTAAGGTCTTCAGAGAGCTTTACAAATTTCACCTCATTTTATTCTCTCAAGCCAGTAAGAAAGTAACTATTATTATCATCCCCGTTTTACAGATGAGGAAAGTGAGGTTGAGAGAAGTAACTTGCCTAGTGTCACACAGGTGAGAAATGCCTAAGGAAGGATTTGAACTCATTTCCAATGCTCTAACCACTGTACCACCTATCTATCACCAAGAACAACAGGAACACATTATTTTTAATTCAGGTATGGTCTTATTTCTCTCTTTTTTTTTTGTATCCCAAGTGATGAGCTCAGTGACTGGTATATAATAGGTGCCTAAAAAGGCTTGTTGAATTAAAGGTTGCTGAAGTCCAATATGATGTAAAAGCTCTCACTGTTCCTGGTCCTTCCAAGGTATCGATTTCAAAAGTCATCGTCTATAACCATATTACACATTTTTTTTTAACCTCGGTGCTATATAAACCTAAAGGTAAGAAATCTACTCTAGTAAAAGATTTCGCCTTTCTTCCCTGGGGGCCTCAGGCTACTAAGAGAGATTCTAAGCCCAGTGGAGCACTGTAGCAATCTGGCCCACGGCACTGGGCCAAGGTGGCAGCTTCATTATCATGCTCCATCATCTCTGACATGAAAGATCTATGTTATCCAATTAGTTCCTAGTGTATGGAGCCAAGATTGCTTCAGTCAGAGGCAGAGGAGATGACCACAGGTGACTTCCCCTGGGGAGAAGGACTTGACATCCTTCTCATTGCTTCCACAGCTGCTACAGGAATGGCTCAGAATAGAAAGGCCCTGAGGCACCTTCCCTTCTGCAACAGGCTGAGCCTCTGCTCCTTCCGTGAAATATGCACAGGTGATATAGACGGTGCAAATCCTAGATTGGGGAAGACTGGATGGCCATTTCTCAATCTCACCATTTCTAACAAAGGCAACAGGAGGTTCACAAACAACATAGCAT